AAATATGGATACAATAAGGACTCACGCACGCTCCTCCCCATTATGGTTGAGAGGCCCAAGTGGACGGCATTGATTGCTTCCCTAGGGAAGGATGTACCACCCCTCACCCCTGCCTAAGTTAGCCTGTATCTTCTACCATCCATCTCCCTGACCACTCTGTCTCCTGGCTTCTTTCGGCTGAGTGTTGTCGGATGTACCTCCCTTTTATGGCCTAATGGACCTAATTTGGATTCAGGCCCAAGTCTTCCTTGTTTGCTAACTGAGTTCCGCAGGCTTCGGGCTTGCTAGCTTGTTCCTCTCAGCAGCTTGGCTGTCGGCTTGGCTTTAAGTGCTGGAACTGCTATCTGGGCTTATTCTGTCGCTTGTTAGAACCCTAAACCCTAGCCTGCAACTTGTCTTGCCTTTCATGGCTCTTTGCTGACGCGTACATATAGCCCTGCTCTACGCCCCTTTCAATGGTCCTAAGAGTCCTCCCTCTCTCTTGTGATTGTCTTTGGCGTAGCGTATGTACCTTCTGTTAGTAACCTGTTYTTGCAGTCAATTGTGACAAAAGCGGACTATAGGTATCTCTAAAGGAAGCCTGAGATTGAGGTGACCCAGTGCCAAGTGGAAATCTATGACCTTTCTCTATTTGGGCTTGCCTGCTTGGTTGGTTTGGATAGGTCCTTTAAGTCAGTGGTGCTTGTGGGGTGGCTGGGGAGCGAGGGGTGGGCACGGGTGGGGGGGTAGGTATATGTAAGCATATGTTTGATCACGCTTAAGGGTCTGGGAAGAGGGGGGCGGGAGGGTGAGTGAGAAGGGGGAGGTGGCCTATGAGGTTGTTTATGTGTAATTGGATGGCGAGGATGGTAGCGGTAAGTTGCTTGGTGGGTGTGTTGATTACTTTGGGCTAGAGGGTTTGTGGTCAGGTGGGCACTACTAGTGAAGGTCTGGTATTTGTCTTGACTTGGGTTTTGCCCCTTTTTTGTCTTATCTACTAGTTTGATAATACGTTAGCTTCTAGGGACTCGGGGATACTGTTTGCTGAGCTGTCTTGCGAGTGGTGCCTTAATGGGGGTTCTTCCCATAGTCTGAATACTATGCTTGAGCCTCGGATCAGGGCAACTTTGCCTTTTGCGAGGAAGTGTTCTTCAAACTTGTGCTGGTATTCTTTGGCCTTATCTTCGTCCTCTTTCATCCTTAGGCGTACTTTACGCCAAAGGACCCAGTATTCTGTTTCCACCTGTTGTTGGAGTAGTGTCCATGCTGTTTGGGTGTGCATTTTCTGTCTTTCTATTGTTTCTTGGCATCTTTTGCGCCATATTACCCAGAGTGTGGCTTTTCTGAGTATTCTGAAAAAGTTCTTTTCCAGTGGGCTCCACTTTTATGGGTTTTTGAAGCCCATTAGTAGAAGTATGCTGTTGTTTGTGAAGGTCGTGTCAGTTACTATGTTCCATAAATTTGCTACCTTTTGCCAGAGTGGTTGTATTCTTGGACAGTGCAGGAAACAGTGATATAGATTTTCCATTTGACCCTCCCTACAGTTGGCACATGGCTCTTTTAGTGGGCTTCTGTCTTCCCTCTTTCTCCTTTCGTTTAGCCATTGGTTTAGTGGGACTGCCAGGTAGAGGATTAGCCGTTGGAGGCCTCTGAATTTAGGAGGATTTATCGACGCTAATTGGTTCCATGGTATCGGTTCTAGTGCTTCTGGTTCCGCGTTGAGGTGTCTTCTCCAGCATTCTGTTATTATTGGGTCTGGGTTTACCGAACGCCATCTTAGTCTATAGCCTAGCCTAGTTGTGTATTGTAACAGGTTGAATTTGGTGTTGATTCTTGAGCTTTCTTGTTTTAGGTTCTAAGCCCATTCTGCTGGGTCCACTTCTAAGTTCTCTAAGGGGGTTTGGGGGCAATAAATGGTCGACTCTTCGTTTTCAACTACTCTTACCTTCCGGAGGTTATCTTTTTTCCAAAGATAGTATCTTGAAATGTCAGAGATGGCGAAAGTCCGAAATGTCGCGAATACAGTGTCCCACAATGTCTCAGATATCGATCTCACAATGTCAAGTACATCTCCAGAGGCAGATGAAATCAGATCCCACAAGTAGTCCTCAACCTATAGTCCCAATGTCGCTGTCTCCGATGTTATCAGAATTCGTAACCATCTTTCATACTTATAGTAGTCCTGTAGGAGAACCCAGAAGTAGACTTAGACTGAGAAGGTAGGAGGAGAGCGAGAG